GACAACATGCGTTTCCGTCCTGGCTTCTTGATGCGAATATGCAGACTCGGGTCGGATGAGAGCGCCATCACCGCACAAAGCGGATCACCGCGACGCGAGACGTGTAGCAGCACATGGATGAAGGAATGGAAACTCCAGCGCGAGGGCTGGCAACGGATCTTCCGCGCCTGAAGCGGCAAAGCCTTGCGCTTCTTGTCATACTGCATGACCCAGATCATAAATCATCAGCGCTGAGCACCACTTTCACACGTTGTACTGGATGCACTGACATTTTGCGTTGCTTGGGATTTTCAATGTTACTCTAGACCCTTGGTCTGCTGCATTGAATGCTAATGGTGCTGAGTGGTCGGTGCGCACGGTTGCTTTCGCTCCTGCGCAAGAGCTGCTTTGGGATGGCACCGTCGTTCCATATACGACAACACTCTTCTTCTTCCGAGTGGCGACCCTACACCACCGTGGATCTTCCTTCATCCATGTGCTGCTACACGTCTCGCGTCGCGGTGATCCGCTTTGTGCGGTGATGGCGCTCTCATCCGACCCGAGTCTGCATATTCGCATCAAGAAGCCAGGACGGAAACGCATGTTGTCGATATTCGCATCAGAGATCCGGTTCCGAAACAGCGCAGGAGGTCCACACGTCACGCCAGGTGTTTTTTCGTCGGCGGCCCTCGCGGTCTCTCTGCCTCATAGTATCAGCGTCGGTATCGTAGCGACGTGGTGCAGGGGTTATGTAGGCTGGTGCTAGGACGCTCTCGACGTCGAATGGTTTTTGTCCATCCGAGAGAGGTGTCGATGTCGGGTGGTGGGCGCTGGCGGCATATTCGCCATCGGCCGCCGGTCGCATCGTCGTGATCTAAATTGGAATTCATTGTGGGCTTGAGCGCATAATACAATGGTGTTTTCCGTGTCTTTTTGGAATAAAAAGAGAGGCGAAGAGACAGTTGATGTATGTGGTTTCCAAGTATTTAAATGCAAATGCGCTGCATAAAAACAATACGCTTTTCGTTTTAAATGACCCCGTTGAAGTGGATGATGGCGATCCCACTCTCCGCTCCGCTTGGCGTAAAATTAGCTTGGTGTTTGTATGCTTGCGGCTATTTTGGGGACATGGCGGACGACTTGAAAGATCATTTTCGAATTTGCCTCCAAAGCACGAGCATGACCAACCCGACCGTCCTCCAGGTGCTCACGCGCGGCCTCGGGCAGACGCTGCCGGCGCACCCGGGCAAGGACCTGACCGTGCCGCAGGCGCCCGTGCGCACGCCCAACCTCACGGAGCGCGAGACGCGCCTCGCCATCAAGAACGCGCTGCGCTACTTTCCGTCTGCGTGGCATGCGACGCTCGCGCCCGAGTTTGCGCAGGAGCTCAAGGACGAGGGCCACATCTACATGTACCGCTTCCGGCCCACCGAGTACGAGATGAAGGGGTACCCGGTCGATTGGTACCCGGCCAAGACGACATCCGCCAAGGCGATCATGATGATGATCATGAACAACTTGGACAAGGCGATTGCGCAGTTCCCCGCGCACCTCATCACGTACGGCGGCAACGGCAGCGTCTTCTCCAACTGGGCGCAGTACCTCCTCGTGATGAAGTACCTCTCGGAAATGACGGAGGACCAGACGCTCGTGCTCTACTCGGGCCACCCCGCGGGTCTCTTTCCGTCGTCGCCGGACGCGCCGCGCATGATTGTGACCAACGGCATGATGATCCCCAACTACAGCACGCGCGAGATGTACGACAAGCTTTACGCGATGGGCAACACGCAGTATGGCCAGATGACGGCGGGTAGCTACTGCTACATTGGACCCCAGGGCATCGTGCACGGCACGACCATCACGGTCATGAACGCGGCGCGCAAGTACCTCGGGAAGGAGAGCATGAAGGGCGTCGTGTACGTCTCGTCGGGTCTCGGCGGCATGTCGGGCGCGCAGCCCAAGGCCGGTGTCATTGCCGGCATGATCTCGGTCACGGCCGAGGTCGACTATGCGGCCATCGAGAAGCGCCACGCGCAGGGCTGGGTCAACGAGATCGCGACGACCTTGCCGCAGTGCCTCGACATGATCCGGTCCGCGCGCAAGGACCAGCGCGTCGTCTCGATCGCGTACCACGGCAACGTCGTGGACCTCTGGGAGGCGCTTGCGGACGCGGCGGACGCGGGCGAGCACCTCGTGGACCTCGGCTCGGACCAGACGTCGTTGCACAACCCGTACAACGGCGGGTACTACCCGGTGCAGCTCTCGTTCGACGACGCGCTCAAGATGATGGCGTCGGACCCGGCGCACTTCAAGGAGCTCGTGCAGTCGTCGCTGCTTCGCCACGTGAGCGCGATCAACCGGCTCACAGCCAAGGGCATGTACTTTTGGGACTATGGCAACTCGTTCTTGCTCGAGGCGAGCCGCGCCGGCGCCGACATTTACAAGTCGGACGACTTGGAAGACGGCTTCAAGTACCCGTCGTACGTGCAGGACATTATGGGCGACATCTTCTCGCTCGGCTTTGGTCCGTTCCGCTGGGTGTGCACGTCGGGCGACGAGGCCGACTTGCTCAAGACGGACGCGATCGCCGGCCGCATCCTCAACGAGTACCTCGCGACCGCGCCGCCGCTCGTGGCCGCGCAGCTCCGCGACAACATTCGCTGGATCGAAGCCGCGGACGAAAACAAGATGGTCGTCGGCACGCAAGCGCGCATTCTGTACGCCGACCGCCACGCGCGCGCCAGCATTGCGATTGCGCTCAACCAAGCGATCGCGTCCGGCGAGCTCTCGGCGCCCGTCGTGCTCTCGCGCGACCACCACGACGTCTCGGGCACCGACTCGCCGTTCCGCGAGACGTCCAATGTCACGGACGGCTCGATGTTTTGCGCCGACATGGCGATCCACAACGTGATTGGCGACGCGGCGCGCGGCGCGACGTGGGTCTCGATCCACAACGGCGGCGGTTGCGGCTGGGGCCAGGTCATGAACGGTGGGTTCGGCCACGTGCTCGACGGGTCGCAGGCCGCGGAGCGCAAGGCCGCGAGCATGTTGCGCTGGGACGTCAACAACGGCGTCTCACGCCGCGCGTGGGGCCGCAACGACAATGCGTGCTTTGCGATCGCGCGCGAGATGGAGGTCGACCCGCTCCTGACCGTCACGATGCCCCAGGCTGCCGACGACGACCTCATCAAGCGCGTGTGCGACGCGACCTTTCAGTAGGTCTCGAGACCAACAGGGTGTCACCTCGTGAAGCTTCGTAGTCGAAGCAAGGTCAAACCGTGTAGTAGAAACAAGTGATTGAATGGATTTTGAATTGAATATGAGGCGTTCGTACAAGCGCTTGCATGGCGACCACTGGCA